CCCCATATGACGTATAGAGAAGGCGATATCGATGCGAGCAGTTTAAATAGCTGCTGAATACATTCGACTGAACTAGACTGAGAGTGAACGTCGGTTGCGATGCCTAATAATGCCTACAAACCGATAACCGATGCATGGGTGTCACAATTATTAGTTTCCTTCTTTCCCACGCATCCACCATAACCTTCAGCACAAACCCTGCAGTACCAGTAGTCTGTGATGTTGACCCAAACCACCTCTTCAACCCACATGGACGATACCAGTAAATCCCCTACCAAAATCGTCTCGTTGACAAGTAAAGACGACTCTTCAGCCACCTCCAGTGAAAGCGATATCCAAGAACCGCATCCACCATCCGATCCAATAATGAAAGGACTATCCGATACTGCCAAAAAGACCTTGTCCACCGAATCATCCTATGGACACCCCCTCTCTGCCGAAGAAGCTGCCAAACGAGTGCCTCCTGGTGAGGATGGTCTCCAATGGCATGCCACTCTCATCAATGGCGATCCGTTTGACACGAATGGTAAACTCAAAAAAGGTCTCCATCCACGAGACTTTGACCTGGAAACCAAAACCATTCGACCACGACGAGCCAGTCTGCCGGTCTTGGCCAAACCATTCTTTGCCTCTTTGACACGTGTGCAAGACGAACCCAATGGTACAAGCGCTAGATTCATCTTTCACGGAATCTTGAATGGATGGCCATCACTCCAGGCATTCGAAGTCATGCGAATTGAACGAAAGCGTGGCATTATGTCAATGGTAGGATTATCCGAGTGGGTACCTGTGTGGGATGCCAATGAGGAAGGAACGCGTGGCATCGATCCAACCTTGCCGGATGAACTCGTCTTTCGGGTCACACTCCGTGCCCCCAGTCATTCTACCACGGGGTGGTCCCAAGAGAGCCCTGGATTTGTCTTTTGGTACCAGCCTATCCTCCATACTAATAATCCACAACAACAACCCACGCTGACCTATGGAACTCAAATGGTACAAGACATGGTGGATCCAAACCCTATTTGTACAAAAGTCCACATGCTGGGGCACCGCTACGAACGCTCGGGAAATGAGAATGCATTCAACAGGCAAACCTATCATAGGTAAGAAGAATAACCCATAGCCATGGAGCAGGAACTTCCAGCTCGTCAGTCTCTCACATCCAAATATTGCTTGCTTCAGTCTTGTCCTTCTTGAGTGGGATCATCAAAAATATTGCACAGTGGTGGAAAAAGGATTTCTCAATGGATTAGCAGGCTGGAAGTAAGTGAAAGAGTTATTTGCTTGCGCTTGGCTGGTGGGATGGGAGCAAATGAATGGGATGCGTCTCTTACATGTATGTGTTGTGACTTACTTTGTCTGTTCATCAAATCAAATCAAAACAGTGGAAAATGTCTTCATTACGATGACATGGACGAGCCTGAAACTCAAATGTACAAGTGCTTTCCACCCGAGATGGTAGCTCCATGGTTGACTGACATTGCAGAGATTCGATGTTCCGATGTGGAGGCTACGTCATTGGAAGAGTTCAAGGCCTACTTGGTCAAATATGAACAATGCAACAAACGATTCTTTGATATACAACACACATTCTCATCACATTCGGCGGCACGACAAGTATCCAAAAAGGATATTGCAGAGTATTTGGTCAACTATATTCGTGGAGATCCATCCTACGTGGTACTCAATCACAACTGTCAGACATTCACTGCAGATCTCTGCAACTTTTTGGCGGCAGATGAAGAGAACACGGCGAAACCTATCCGACCGTTCTTTCAATTTTTCTACAAGAATCGAACAGATCTGTTTCTCTAACTATAAGAACCTGACAGGTACGGTATGATCAAAACATAGAACGGGAGGCAGTCCTCAAAGGTCAATGTCCGAGCTGAAGGACACAGTAACACTAAGCAACAACACTAACACAAAGGAGAACCTTTTTGCCATGGCAAGAGCCAAACAAGTTCCACGACTTCGGGTACCTATCCGTTATCTCGAGCAACTTAGACAATGTCATGGCCTCGTTATCTATCTATCTATATGTAGTTGGCTAACGCTAGACTACCTGGCTCGCTGGCTATTGCTTTTTGCGGCTCTTGTAGACCCCAGGAACCACTGTTTTGGTACGGAGGCTGTTGCATTGTTCACAGTTGCACATACTTGGTTCCCATGATCCTGAAGTACAACTCTACCTACTACCGGTAGTTGTCCTTGCTAGCTTGGGTAACTACCGGTTTGTTTCATTTCTCTTTCATGCATCTGAGATCGCTCTCATCAGCTGCCTGTATCTCTTGTACCAGGCGGTGGTAGCTACTTTTGGCGCTTCCAACAGCCAACAGCACACTGGAAAGCCCCGCAAAAGCTGAATTTTGCGATTACCCATAATTAAGCACCTTGAACTGGTGAAAAAATCAACAGGTGTTGAAAAAGTGTTAATAAAGTGTTGAAAAAATGTACGTTAAGTGTTGATTCTATTTCATTACTGCTGAAAATACTGTTGAAAATTTGTACATTTGTACATCATTTTCAACACTTTTACTGCAAACTGGATTTAACAGGTGTTGAAAACAGTGTCCAACAGTATTCAACAGTGTTGAAAAAGTGTTGAAATAGTGTTGACTAACTGTTTAAAGAAACTCTTACTGTTGAAACAAAATTCAACGTGTTTACAACCAATTCAGCGATTTCAGCATTCGCGGGACTTTTCTGCGGGTTCTCCAGCTATACGTACGATGTAGCCAGTCTCCAGCCGCTCTCCAAGGGACTTGAAAGTTGAAAGGAGGGTCAGAAGAGCTGTCAGAAGAACAGCTGAAGAACCCAGCGGCATTCATAGGATCACACTGACTTATGAAAATGACTTCAGCAGGAAAAATTCAGCGTTCGCACGTTCGCACTGTAAAGGCCAATCTTCGTTCGCATTGGTGACCAATCACCTGGACACCGGTGTCAGGTACCAGTACCTACTAGTACTTCGTTGCACCTGGCTATGCAACAACCTCTCCCCGTAGATGATTCGGCCCTCCTATACATTTCGAGCTTGCGATGGAGAGGAAGCGCCAAAGGCCATGCTTATCGTACTGGAGATGGCTGGTTCTCCTTACCTGTGGTAACCGAATGTGATGTTCAACCGTATACTCGGCGTGAGGCAGGGCAACCAGGCTGGACTTGTTCCCAAAGGTCCAAAGAGAGAGCTCCGTCAATTGTCAAAAAGAATACTTTGGTGCTAGTGAACATTCAAAAAGCTTACAAATAAAAAGCGAATTATTGACAGCCATGATGAAACCATGTGGGTCGTCAGCTCCTTTGTGTATCCTCTTGCTGCTCCTGAATGCTGCAATAGTTGGTAAGAACATGTACGATGGTGGATGCAGAATAGAATATATCCTTTGTTGATAGGTCTCACACCCGTCGCTTTCTTCTTCTATCCACCACAGCCGCCAATTGGGAAGCTCATATTGATTCTGTCCATGGCCAGTCCTTTGATTTCACCACTGGCAGTGAACATGGAGCAGAACTGCGAGTGGAAGCGTATGATGAATGCCGCAAGGACGCGGGACAAAGGAACTGGATGGGGGAGTTCTACCCTTCGACCTCTATGACTGGGATAAGGGCGGATACTTCTCGTGTGCATGGTCCGGGTGGTGGCAATCACATTTCATTTACATTCACCGAGGGGATCAACGAAAATCTCAATCTCTACTCGGACAACGGGGACAACACCGCTACAGTAGAGTTCTGTGCCCAAGTGGGGCTCTACCACAGCGGCGTGCTGGTCAACTTTTCAGAAGTCAAGCTCACCTACAATGTTGACTTGGTGACGAACTTCGCTTCCTTGACGGGCTACACTGTGACCGGTGCAGAAGCATACACAGATGCCGAGGACGTGGAGAAGAACTTTGATGGATCACTGCGGGCTTACTTCTGCAACCCTTCAAGTTTTGAAGAACTTCAAGATGATGGTTCTGTTACAAACCAAGGCAGTATTCTGAATCTATGCTTCACGGTTGCATCTGGCGGAGAGTTTAAGATCAAAGATGTCCAAGACCTGTTGGTGAGAAACGGCATGGGCGAGGAGCCAAGTCAAGTCATCATTTCAGGATCACAAGCGGCAACGCCCATTTATGCAGAGAAGATTTGTCACGAAGGACACAGCAGTGAAACCAATGTGTGTGTTGTGTCCTTCATGTTGCAAGCCGATTTCTATGATTATGAACGGTTGACCCTGACCGGAGAAGGACAGATCCTCCTTGAACTTGGAGGCTTTGCGGGGTCGTCAAGGAGACTTCTTCGACACAGACTGCTCACCGAAAGGGTTGGTCACGTCTCTGTTCAGGCTATGGAGATGCGGTTCAATGCATTGACAAAGGAAGAACAGCTCGAGGAGGAAAATGCCGCTGTGAGCGTTCCCATTGCAGCTGGTGCTGTCGCTGCCATGGTGGCTTTGTGCAGCGTGCTTTGGGCAAGGATGTTTTGTACTCGCAGACCTCCGAGCAGGAAGGATCAAGTCTACCAAAAACTCCGAATGAAAAAGGGCAAGGACATGGACGGCGATGCCACTGTTGCCACCGTTACCAAGGAGACAATTGATTTGACAATGTCAATCTCAACTATTGTGTCCGACATATCAGACACACCATCAAGTCCAGGCCACAGGTCATCTACCAGTTCCACTTCGGCTTCCAGCCACAGGACCTCTACCAGTACCAGCTCCAGTAGCAGGACCTCTTCCGGCTCTAGGACCAATAGCATTTCCAAGACTTCCTCATCAAACCCCGGCCGGATGGGCCCTACTAAATTGGAAAGGGCATCTTCCACTTCCAAGACTTCCTCGTCCAACTCCGGCCGACTCAGCCCTCCTAGATTGGAGAGGGCATCTTCCACTTCCAAGGCTTCCTCTTCCACATCTGAACTAGTGCCCCCTACTAGACTGGAAAGGGCAGCCTCCACTTCCAAGGCCTCTTCTGGTTCTGGGAGGCGTTCCCCCACTCGCCGATTGGAGAGGACGCCCTCCGCTTCAAGTCACACGACGAAGTCTAGTCGAAAGTCGCCAACGAAGCTAGAAAGGACACTTGAAAGAGGATCATCTAGATCTAGCCAAAAAAAGATTTCTTCAGGTTCAAGTCGGCCCACCCCTGATAGATTAGAACGCACGTCCTCTGGTTCTAGTCACAGGACGCATTCTTCACGGACCTCCCCAACGAAACTGGAGCGGGGATCTTCTACATCGAGTCACATGACATCATCGTGTTCCAGCCCACGCTCCACCAAGTTGTTGCTGGCGGAGGAGGATGTTGGGGACGAGATCATCGATGTTACTGCTCGTAATTCTGGACGATTGAGCTCTGGTGACATTTTGGAAATGACGGCAAGCATGCAATCCGCGTTGAGCACACCAGGAGCTGGGCGTCGCCGTGGTTCAGGTACCTCGCATGCCTCGGGGTCCTCGTGCTGAACACAACATTCGTATCTAGACAAGCAAAAGACAAAACATAGAGAATCTACTAGATGCATCGCAAACTAATCCAGAACACCGCGGAGAACCCTTGCTTATAGGGATCTATGGAAGACTTTCGAAGTGAAGCAATGCTTTAAGCAACTAGCTATAGGGTACGATCTGGCGGCTGCAAACTTAGTTGTTCATAGTCAAGGAGAGAGCAACCGTGCTGGCTGGTCACTGCAGTAAGCAATTCGAATCAACGAGCTCCCCGGAACCTAGTTTTCCAGGACGAAACCCGCCTAGAGCTTTGAAAGCTATGGTATCCAGTACTGCTCAACAAAGAAAAGATCTTCCTTAGCATAGGTGCTGTAATCTGATTAGAGGAGACCCGCTGGCAGCTCCAACGATCGATGCAGTATGTCAAGGCGGCGATTCAACTTTGTCCCACCGGACGAAGAAGTCTTCAATGGCTTCGCTTCTGTTGCTGTACACATTCATAAAATTTGCTCGCCGAAAAGCTTGGGTTGCCTGGATTAGAATGAACATTGCTAGCTATTGGCTTTGTGCTCCGCCTTGGAAGAAGCACTGCATCAACGTATAAACAAAATTCCTTGACTAGTTTCTTTTGCTGGGGATGGCAGTGGTGAGGACAATAAGCAACGATCTGGTGGCGCCATGCGTATCGCTCTACAGTCAAAAGAGTACTACAATAGCTACCGGTAGCATAGCCAGGGCGAGCCAAAGCCGGGACCAGCGTCAAACGCTAAAAGTTTTTGACACCCCAGCTAAATTGTGATCCAAAGCTCTAAAGGGGAAAAGTGAGGCGCGCAAAAGTCACTTGAGGGTCATTCAGGGGAATTTCGTTACATAACACCCGTTGCCCCCCCCTCGTGGGGAACGAACACCGCAAATCTCGAGTTCTTTCGAGATGCTGTCGAGAGCGTTCGTAAACATCGCAATATCAGCTGCAATAAGATCCAGGTCTTCTCCAGTCAGTTCCCATGATCAGTCAACAGCAACAGTGAGGCAACGAGGAATACATCATCTCATCAACATTTCAACCATCAAGGACCAACGGTGAGAGATTTTGCCTCTTTCGGATAATGGCAGCCGCGTCCTTCAGACGAGGCGTCAAACATTGAATCCGATCCACCACAGACAACCACTTCATTAGAAAAATGAACATGATATCCTCTTTCAGACTGATAAGCGGTCTGCTAATGGTAACTCTGCAGCTTGCAGGTACGGAAGAGAAGGACGGTCGAATGTGTCATGGATTGGTTTCAATTTGTTTGTCAACTCGTCTCTCTAACATACGCATGGCGCTGTCTCTTTCCCCCATTTGCACAGCCGCTGACTGGCACGTCAAGATTGACGGCGTCTATGGTCAGTCTATAGACTTTAGCACAGGCGATGATTCTGGCGCCACAATGAAGGTTGAGCTATTCGATGTTTGTCGGGTTGATTCCGCCTTTCGGGAAGAACTCGGAGAAATCTACCCAGGAAACAGCGTGGAAGGCTTGGAGGCAGACACCAATGCCATCTCACACGATCCTGGGTGCTGCAACAAGATAGCCTACAGCTTTACCGAGGCAATCAATCAAACAAGCATATACACAGACAACGGAGACGGTAGAGCTTCAGTCGCGTTTTGCGCTCAAGTTGCCCTATACGACGGGTCAACCCTAGTCAATCTGGCTGAGGTCAGGATCGAGTACTCCATTGACTTGAACGATGACAAAAGCCATGGCGCCGTGAATGTTGAAACATACACAATCACCGATGCAGCAGGATACACGGATGCATCCGACGTGGACGTTGCATTTGACGGCAGGTTGGAGTCCTACTTTTGCGATGCAAGCAGTTTTAATGAGCTCCACAGCGATGGACATATCACAGAGCAAGGGAGCACCTTGAGTGTTTGCTTTCGAGTGCCTGATGGCCAGTTTGAGATATCCGATGTAATGTACTTGACGGTTAAGAATGCAGCGGAGTCCGAACCATATCAGGACCTCATAGTGGGTTCCCACATCGTAGAAGACAGTATCGCCCTGAAAAGTTGCTCGGATCATGGTCATGACGACACAAACATATGTGTGGTTCAGTTCATCTTGAAGGCTGACTTCTACGAAACATCAGCCATCACCTTGACAGGATTTGGTATGGTGATTCTTGAACTTGGAGATGCCCCCGCTGACAGACTGCTTGCTGCTAGCGACCTGCACACCCATGCTGGCGACCAGGCTACCAACCCAACGACAGGTGGGACGGACGAGAAGCGGCGCCGGATGGAGGGAGTTCTCTCCGGACATTACGTAACGAAGCCATTCGCCGTAAGACCTCTCAAGTTGTCCATCTTCGACGATCCTGAAAAACACTTCCGGACCTCAAGAACAAGCGGGGCAAACAAAGACGCCGAGGTACTTGGTGTCAACCTGACGTTCATCATTTTCTCGGTTGCTTGCGTTGCTGGAGTGGTTATCATGTTCGTGTTCTTCAGGGGCAAAAAGGAGGAGAAAGGCACCACGAGGAGCAGCGTCTTCAAGAAGAAGGACGGCGCTCATTGCAGCATTCAACCAGTGTCCTTGACGGAGTTCATGGACGACTCTTCATCACTGCGGAAATCATTCGAGCTGGATTCGTCGGCCAAGTTGTCTCCACAGAAAGCTTCAGTTTCCGATAAAGAAGTCCCTGAGCTATTCGACGATGAAATGGAACAGGGAGAGCGTCCAAGCAAACCCCTTGTCGAAACATAGTCTTGTATCAATGGAATACATATATAGAATACATAACGCATAGAAGTTCAGCAATAGAGATGTTCTGTCGTGTTGGAATCGGAAGTCACAAATAGTTTTTATTTCTGCTCCAGCATCATCTTGTCGTCTGTCTGTGGAATTCTGTGTATACTTTTCCTAGATCATCCACAAATTGTTGCTCCAGCTCCTCGAGCTCGCGAATGCTGTTATCGATACTTGATCGCTTTGAAAAGTCTGTCATTGGTGACTCTTCAATGAGTTGCGACCTAGAGCCTGTATCCTTGAGTGGAGTAGTCTGGTCGTCAGCAGCCTCGTCGGGACCATCGTCCTGCTTCTTTGCCTCAACATTTGCCTGATCATCAAGCTCAGTACTTGCTTTGTCGTCCTGGCCATCCGTCTTGGGGCCCCGATCAGCTTCCGCGTTGTCAATCTCCTTCACGTCGTCATCAGTGGTCACTGACGATTCATCTTCTGTGCTGTTCCGCCTCGATTCAGTCACATCAGAGTCTGCGGTGCCATCCACGACGATTTCGGGTTCCTGGTCTACGCTTTGTCTGTCTTGTGTATCATGGTCTTCCGGTGCGCCTGTGTAGTTCTCACTTGAATCTTTTTCCGTTGGATCGATTGGTATTACGCCTTCAACGTGTCTTCTGCCGTGGACATCAACCCTCTCTTTTTCCTGGTCGTCTGGTCCTTGTTTGCTCTCGTCATCTTCCCCTTCTTCCTTGATGCCTGATTTGTTGGCTGATGTTTCCAGTTCGTCTTCTTGATTCGCTTTATTAGATTCAGAGCCGGCTACGTCTTCAGTTTCTTCTGCTTCTGCTTCTTCCTCTTCCATGTCTTGAGTCCTACTTGGTTCAAGAGCACTCTCCGACTCGCTCTCGTCATGGTCAGTCCCTGTGACACCAGGTTCTTCTTCCATGCCCCCTAACGTTTGGCTACTAGCAACCTCTTCCTTGGCATCTTCTGTGCCATGGTTATCATTGGTCCGGTTTTCGTCATGGTCATCCTCGTCTCCACCCTCATCATCTCCATGCATGCTTGAGTTGGCTTCTTGCTCGTTGACACGATGCATGTCGCCATCATCACTATCGCTTTCACTCCTTGACTCGACTGCCCCATCTTGTTCTCCTTTGCTCTCGTTTTCTGTGTTTTCTTCCTCTTGCTCTTGAAAGTTTTGCACGACGCGTAAGTCTTCTACGTCGTCGTCTGTTTTCGACTTGCCCTCAGACTCGTATCCCGTTCTCGACTGCTCGGCCTCGAGATCATCGTCTTCGAAGGAGGTTCTCCTAGTAGCCGTCCCTTGGCTATCACGATTGTGATCGCTGTGTTTGTGACTGTCATGAGTGTTCCTACTCCAACCGACATCATCATCATCCGAGGAGTCAGAATCATCATCGTAGCCTCTGTATCGACGATATCGCTTGCAGCAAACCTTGAAAATACGGAGGATAAAGTCCACCAAAAGTTCTCTTCCAAAGTTTATGAGAAACAATATGAAGATTGATCCTGTTGCTGCCGCCGCAACAGTTGTCCCGTCGCCTTCCGACAAGTTCTCAGTGAAGGATTTGGATTTCTTTGGGGGTTCAGTGGACTCGAAAGCAACAAAGACTGGACTTGAGGTAGGAGGAGCGGAACTAGCATTTGGAGCAGGTACCGACTTGAGAGGTTCGACACTCCATTCAGTCCCCAAGTTATGGATGGCGCTGTTGAGCTCCCCATCTTCCACTGCCTTTTCCATGCTTTTTTCAGCCGCGGTAGCAACCTTTTTTGCCAACTCTGGGGCCTGGTCCCCCTTCACAAAAGCTTGCAAACTTCCCTCCGCTGTATAACAAGTATGCCCTTGTGTTTCTCCATGGCGGCATTCAGTTTTCTGTAGATTCTGGATGTGTGCAGTGTCTGCGGCAATGTAAATGGAATCATCCTGGAGACCACGCCCATTCCTCGTTGCATGCTTTTCTTTATTGACAACTTCTTTGATGGAGGGTCCAACACTGTCATCCACGACTTTGCGAAAGGCCATGTCCAAGAGAGGTTCACCTTGACGGTTGCTTTCGTCCTCCGTTGTAGCCTTATCCAGGTAGATTTCGATAGTGGCATTGACCATGGCGGATGATAATCCACCCTCACTGACAGCGTCATTGACCACAGTCCTGAAAAACTGGCAAAGCTTGTCTTCTCGCGTCGCCTCAATGGCAGCCGCCTGCTCTGGAGAATCTGCCTGAAAGGACCCCAACAAATCAATCTCTCTGTTCTCACCCGCGCCTATTGTTGCCATGCTGTCGAATACAGCTGTCATGACATCTGGCAGGGCCGCGAGAGGATACCCCGCGAACGTCTGGTCTGTCATCAAGTTGACAAAGTCGATGTACTCGGGTATGGTTAGATATTGGTCGCCGTTGCTGTTGGCTTGTGTCAAGAACTGCTCGCAAACTGCATCTGAAACTGTAATTGGATCCAGGTAGTAGGCTGGGACGGTAACAGACTGATGGTCGGATGAGGAATGTTCTGGCAACAACCCTTGCGCGGAATGCAAGGCCGCCAACTCTGGATCCATGTACGTGAAGCGCCGGATCTTGTTCCGGATCCGTACACGATGTACCTCGTAGAAAGCACTCTGCTTCAGGGGCGGGGTGTTCCACACCACGTTCTCAATATAGTCTCGGATCATTGTTTTCTGAAATTCCTTGCTGCGACCAGTCAATCTCGACCGCACGTACTCGTGTGGAATAACAGAGTCAGTGCTGTGCAGATAAGTCGTCACAAGGCAATCCATGACCACTGGATACTCGGCTGCATTGGCGTCGTAACTCCAACCGTTCAGTTTCATATCGACGACTACTCTATTCTCAAACCGCTCCTGCAGTTCCCGTGAGATGAACAATCCCGTGGCAGCCTTGAGAGCGTCCACTTGGCTTTGTGTTGGTTCTTTCCGTCTCCCCTCGAAAAAGTCGTAAAAGAATTGCATTGCGTAGATTCCAGTCTCACCACACGAATATGTGTTTGCCAGAACGACATCTCCAATCTGCTTAGTACTCTCTTCGTGGATAGTTTCAACGGTATGCGACTGCACCTGTATTTGCGCCAAGACTCTTGCGGCTTCGTAGAATGCACTGAGACCTTGAGGTCTGACTTTCCAAATAAATCCTTCCAGAAAGTCAGTTGAATCCACAGCGCGAATGCAACGATACACATCCTCCGAACGCAGCAGAGCCCCGTCTTCAAACGCCGCTTCAATCACCATGGAAATACTCAATGGCATGTCAATCCCCGGACTGTAGTCCCATTGGAGTGGATGCAGATTGACGTAGACCAGATCCCCCAGCTTTCTCCGGAACAGTCTGGTAAAGTACGAGTTGGTTTGGCAGAGCAGGTCTTGCCACTCTTGTTGCGTTGGTTGTCGAAGATGTCCTTCAAAGACTTCAAAGTTCAACTTGACACCTACCAATGAGTGGTATTCTGTCCCTTCTTCCATTCGTCGTCTGGGTTGTACCGATAGTACAGGCAATTGTGTACCAGCAACTTCAGTGGTTGTATTGAAACGAGCTGGAGGAAACGGCAGCAATCGAACTTGCCCATAGCGCTCCTGGTTGATGAGCACGTCGCTCCGAATGGACTGGTTCTCAATGGAAAGATCAATGGTGATAAGAGACACAAAGCTCACGCCAATCAGAACCACAAAGATTATTTGGATCTCCCTCATTCCTCTTGCCATTGTATCGCCCCTCTTCCTTGTTGCTCTTGTTGCTCTTGTTGTCCTTGTTGTCATCACCATTGTTGTCATCTGCCAATCTTCTCTACGGGGTTGTGCATTGCTTTTTGGAATTCAATCGATGTAAGCGGGAGGGTCATTGGTATCTTTCGTCGAAGATATCCAGGTGTAAGCCAGCGCAAGTTTGTAACAGTAATAGAATTTGTGGAAGTGCTCGAGCTGGCTGAGTCTGTTGTACGGTACAGTACCTTGTTTTGATATCTCAGGTCGTCAGAACTGGCCGTTCATTGGCTACTATGCATGTAGCTGAGCAAATGGCTGGAGAGCAGCAAAAGCTTCCTTGGATCCACGTCTCACTGGCTTTGCTATGGCTTGTATACATGTATGGAACTCCTATACTCTGCATCTGAGCAATGTATTTTTCTATTTTTGACTTACAGACTCAAGTTACTCTCTAGAAGGAGGCGTCTAGCTAGTTAGAGCTCAGTCTGTAGCTCACGTCCATTGTATTCTTGGAGCATGGACAGGAGCTGCGGTGCACCGGCATATAGTATGGCGGCAAGGGGGAACACAAACTCGGCGGCATTGCCAATGCCACTGGTAAACGAGAGACCACCTGCGTCTTTGGACGTGGACAGTTGCTTTGATTCCGACGATTTGGTTGCCATGAAGAGAGGCCTGTAGTATTCGCATTGCCTGGCGCAAGTGACAACCGCGGCAATCAAGGCAAGCCTTGAAATGAGATCTTGGTTGGCATCCGAGATGAACAGTTCGAGAAATGGGTTGATCACTAGAGGGCAGACAATCATGCTAAAGAAAACCTGAACAACTCCCAAGACCACTGGAGACGTGTATTTGCGGATTTTGGATGTGGGCAAGCTCATGACGGCAAAGGCCACGACAGCCAGGTGGGGCTCCATGATCATTCGGATGAAGACCATAACGTATCCCAGGAACAGACTTGCCGAGTACACTCGATGATAGGTGTAACTTGTGGCCTTGCCTTTTCTCACGAGCGTCATGAGCAAGGGCGCCATTTGAATCCCCAGCAAGGGAGCAAAGTTCATGGTAGCATCCGGCAACTGGCACGCCTTGGTAGCGGAAAACTGGGCTCGTGTGTACCCAGATTTGACCTCCTGCTCTTGCTCCGGACTCACTGATTTGGGGTATGGCATGGCATTTGTGGTTCTCTTTTCTCGACAGCCCCACTTCTCAGTAATGATGGATGCGACCTGGATGGTCCCTACCACAATGACAGCACGAGCAAGTGCATGGGGCCACAAATTTTGAGGCCAAAGGTTGTTGAGAGACAAGACTGTTGTGATCACATGTCGGCTGCCGAATGCAATCGAATGGAGTCGGAATTCGGGCCAAATCATCGGAGAGTTGAAATTTCTAGTCACTGGTAATGGCAGCAACAGTGACGACCAGGAAAGAGCGCCATGTAGGACCACAGAGAGCGTGGATATCCAGAGTGGTTCATCTTTGGGAAAAGCTGTGCCATATCGAAAGGCAAGGAAGAAGCGGTAGATGTAGTTGATCAGGACAAAGAGCCCAAGGATCTTGTGAAGATGGTAAGGATCGTGCTTTGTAATGAGGTTTGCCATTTTGCTTTTAGTGGATGGAAGAAGTTGGAACAGGTGCTTGGTTCTTTCTAGGTTTTGTAATACTACTCGGCCAGAACTCCGCAGCTGCACAAAATTGTAGGAATCGAATCGATAACCTCGCTGAACTTTTGTGTAGAAGCAATAGTCAAAGACTTAGTGTCAAAGTTGCTCCTTCCTTGAACTTTGGAAGTTTGGAGATTACTCGGAGAGTTGAAATAAACGGCTTCGGACGAATTTGGACTTGGAGGTGAGCCTGGAAAACTGCATACAGTGGTGAGGTACCGTATGCCATACCGGTACAAGATCACGAGATCACGGAAGCGAGGCAACGTTTGCAGTAACGGTGGTACCATACCGGTACTAGTACCATGCAGTGAGCTGTGAGCTGTCACGTTGCTGCTGTATAAAACCGCTCGTGCAATTCTTGTCATTCTTGTGTTTGATGCTTGATGAACCTGATAACCTGACAGTAGTCTACTGGACCTCTGTGGAAACGTCATTCGTGGCAAAATACTTAAGAGACGATACACCGAGGAATAGGAGACGATCGAAATGATTTAAGAGACGAAAGCAATCGTCTCCTATATTTAGGAGACCATTCAGTAGGAGACATTCCAATTTGGAGACGATCGTTTCGAAATAGGAGATGATCCGAAAGATTTAGGAGACGATACCATACAGTTTACGTGGTACACTTAGGAGACGATCCGTTGAGAATAGGAGACGATCCGTTGAAAATAGGAGACGTTTTTTAAAGAGGAGACAAAAGATTTAGGAGACGATCCGTTTCGTCTCCTATTTTTATGAGACGAAATCCATTAAATAGGAGACGATCAAAAGGATTTAGGAGACGAAAAGTAGCACGACTCTAGTTTCCACAGAGGTCCTGTACGTAGACCAAGTGCCACGTACAGCGGCACCGGTACTGCACTGTACTAGTCCAAATTGCTTGAGTCGAGTCCATGCAGTCGCCCGACATGGTGATATCTTCAGTCAGTCAATAGAAGATAAGCGAATACAGCACAGCCGTGGTGCTCGTACCGGCACTCAGAGTAACAGTAATACCATCGACTCGACTCAAGATAATTCCCACTAGCAAAAAGAAGCCAAGACGGAAAGATAGATCACTACTAGTAGTCTACTAGAAGTTGCGGGATGATGGATGGCTGCACTTAGTTAGAGTATCAGGTACATGTAGCTTTCTAATAGGGCTCTATTTACGACGCCTTCCAGGACCCAGAAAAATCGATTTTCAGTTTTTGAAGTGGTTGAAGGTTGAAGCAGAAACTACTCGAAGAGTACAGCACATAAGGGGTCGGTCAATCGTCAAAGTTCCAAAGAAGTGAAGAAGCGGTCGAAGTGTCGGTCCAGGCGGAAACTTACAGGAAGATACAGTGCTCAGAGTTCAGCAGAGAACAGTAATACCATCATACCATCTACCATCGTAACCAATCCGCGACGGAAGATAAATACGTGCTGAGTAAGAAATGGCAAGAAATCGCGCGACTGGGCAAGAACATGGATGCACTTTAAAAAAAAAAAAGACTCAAGATACAAGTCACAATACATGTTCTCCGGGCAGTAATACCGGTACCAGGACTTCTCGTAATCATTCTGTCTCGAAGCCACGAAGCTTACCGCCACAAGCACCCCCCGCGAAAGACCGCAAGACAAAGATTCCAAGACTATCAAGCTCTTCATTCGATCCCCATCAGTCTTGGCACTTGGCACAGCAACGAAAAACGTGCCCTTGCTAGCTAGCTACGGTACGGTAGCTAGCATGCTAGCTACAGTGGCTAGCAACAACAATGAAGTCTGTACTCGATCGACAGAGCCACACCTTGCCCACAATCCTTGATTCCACTATCTAAAACTATCAAGCTCCTAACAATACGAAGTTCAGCAACACAAGCACCTGTGCCGGTCTATCACATCGAAGCATTCCGTGCCATTCTCTATACTAGCTCAATAAATAAAGGAAACATGAAAGCAACAACAAATATGCTACATGTAAAAGCCCTCCTGCTATCGTCAGTCCTCTTGGCCCTTGCTGAGGCATCATTGGTCTTTCAAGCCTTTGAACCATTTGTCCCTTGTGCTGACGGAAGCCCTGCTGGGATTTTCTCTAACGTCCATGAAGGCCACACCAACTCCCAACAGCTTGATCAAACCAAGCACATCATTGTCTTTGAAGGGGGAGGAGCATGTACAGATCCTGAAGATTGCCTGGAGGAGGCCATCACAGAGCCCTACAAGTTCTCGAGTACACTGCTCCCTCGAACGATAGAAGGCACTACTATTCTCTCAGAGGACCCCCAAGAAGAGAACCCTTTCCAAAGCTATGCAAAGTGGTTCGTCCCCTATTGTACCCAAGATTTGTTTCTTGGGGACTTGCAGAAGGGGGTGGTTGGAGAGTTCACTCATGGTGGATCAGACATCTTCCGCAGTGCAATAGCCCACTGGAAGAGCAGCGTGACTGGTCAACATCATGGTAGTGTAAGCCAACTGGTAGTACTTGGAATCAGTGCGGGTTCCATTGGGCTCATGAATCATGTCGAAGATGTCCAAGAAGCAGCGCAGTTAGTTGGTGTTGGCAAGTTGCAATACATTCTTGACGCCCCCTCAATCAGTGATCGATGGCACGAAAAGAACTTCTCACGTACAATGGAAACATATGTAAACTTGACAGAACATCCCCTGTGTGATGTGTCAAACAAGTACTCGCGCCATTACAAGCCAACAATCACCGACTTGCCTTGTTGCCTCTCATCTCATTGCATGTTTCGACATGATGAGAACATTCGATCCATCGGTTCGCCCAAGGAAAGCAAGGGATCTGTGATGACAGAAGAGATACTACTGTTGGATGCTGACTATGACCCCTTAGCACTTGCTGCCTCAAGTGAAAAGTCTGACCAAAAGAGATTTATTGATGTCATGAGCAATGTCTGGGAAGGAGCTGAGACAGCTGGTTCAAGAGGCACCCGTGCCCTCGAAACATCTCTTTGGCTCCCTGACTCTCAAGATGAATCACTGGGACCAAAAGGTTCATGGTACATTTCATCTTGTGTTGCTCATGGATTCTTTGTCCCATCAGTACAGATCCAGCACAGTCGATGCTTACATGGGGACTTCAGTGACAGGGACTTTGTAGTTCGGTGTCGCAGCGATGGTGCAGGAGTCCAGTCTACTATTGGACAAGTGGATCTGCAAGTGACTCTTTGGCAGACAACTGATACCTGGAACTTGGCAAAGGTGCAGGGAACCTCTATTCGCACCATTGTATCTGACTTTGTGCTGGTTTCCCAGCACAATGAGGGTCAACATAGAACAGAGAGCAGTGACCAAGCCTTGCTCGTGTTTGCAGATGATTGCAAGGGTCCAAACTGTGCCTCCACTGTGGGACATCCTAATGAGTGCCAAACACTTTTTGAGCTTGAAGAAACGTTTAAACCAGTTCCCTTGGGCTTCAAGATTGCCTGGTATGTTTTTATTGCACTGATCATTGCCACAGCAGCTGCACGACTGCCACTGCAAGCAATGTGTACAACAAATGCCTCAAATGGGACCAAGGAGGTGGTGGGAACAAACCAAGAAGAGTCTCAAGCAGAGATGGACGAGGGAAAATCTGAGTGCAATGCTGCCCAGGAAATTTTTATTGCTTGCACCAATATTTGCTCTGTGAAGAACCTGTCTGTAGTGACTGCAGAAAAGGGATTCAAAGTTCTCCAGGACGTCCACCTACAGATCAACTCAAGTTCTGTCATTGGGTTACTTGGTAGATCAGGATCAGGAAAGTCCACGCTCCTGTCTGCTTTGAGTCGACAGAAACTTCGCAGTCTGCGGGTTTCAGGGGGGCAAATTGAAATGCAATGCCCTGATGGTGATGTTGCCTTTCTTCGCCAATCAGATTCTGTCCAGATGGAGAACATGACGGCCTCGTCATTCCTGGAAACCACTGCCTCAATCTATGGGGCAGACAACAAAAGGGTAGATGACTGTGCAGAAATGGTAAAGAAGCTCTATTGCAGAGTGGAGCAATCAGGCCTGAATCCATTTACTGATACCAAGATTAAGAACCTTAGTGGCGGCCAGAGGCGGATTCTTGCCATTGCCACCACTCTACTTTTGACACCGCAATTGGTTCTTCTTGATGAACCACTCAGTGGTCTGGATGATGCCTCTTCACTTCAGGTTATGGAGTTTGTGCAGTTCCTTTCGAATAAGTACAGTTGTGCTGTCATCCTTTCTCTGCACAACCCATCAGAGGAAGTTCTGCAATACCTTGACAGAGTTGTTGTGATGGACAATGGTTATGTCAGGATGCAGAGAGACTGTACGGCTAACAGAGCCTTTGCAACAGACTTTCGTCGTGAGCTGGGCTCCATGATGGCTGGGTTTCTCGAAGATTCCAGTGGAAGCAATACTTCAAAAGACAAACTAAAAACTGTAAGCATGACGGGGAAAGACTCAATGGTTGAAAATCCTGGGCCACGATCAACCATGGATTTAAACACCACCATTGATTTTGACACCACTGATGAGACAGAGCGAGAACAAGAGATTTCAGTGTCTACAGCCTGGGAAGAAAACCCTGTTGCCTGCTTCTCTACAACACCATTTGCAGCGTCAACCGAAGAGGAAGGAACAAACAAGAAGCCAAAGTCAAGTACCTGGACTATGGAGAACAGTTGCTACGGAAGGTTCCTTAGCTTTTTCGGTAAGACATCATTCCTTTGCCGGCGTCTCCATGCCAACTATGGGTCAGAACCTGGGGATCTACTGACGCTCCCAATCATTCTGATGCTCTTTGCCATGGTGTTGCGTTTTGATGGAGGATCACCGGTTCAAGAGGTCTTGGTATCGACCTTCTATATTGGGATTCCTGTTAACCTATTTCGGCACAAGATCCACCTCTCTTGCAAGATGTGGTCAGCTCATAGGGTGGAAATGGATGATCAAAGAATTTCTTTGCTTTCCTACCAGCTTGCCACCCAGACATTTTCATTTGCGGCACCACTCTTGTCTCTTATTGTGGCCCATATTCTGGGCTATGCTGTCCTTGGCTGGTCCTTTGAGTCACTTGCTGTGCAAATTCTCTTCTCGGCAGTTCATCTCTTGGTGGCTCTGCAGCTTGGCCGTACGATCTGCGCATACTTCCATGGAGACTACCACAAGTTCACCCGGATCTACTCTGTGTTAATCTTTCTCTGCTTTCTTTTTGGTGGCCTGTTGGTTCCATCCAGGCAGCTTCCACCATGGCTCTCTTGGATGTATGTGTTTTCCTTCACATTCTGGGCCATTTCAGGAGGAGCACTCAACATTCTTCAGTACCATGGCTCAGAAGAGTACTGTGTTGATGCTCTGTCCTGCATTGCCACGGATGGATCATTCATTGCTCGGTACACAGGATTTGCTCCTGTCTCAACAGAGCACCTGGCTTTGCTGGTATTGACAATATGGTTTGTGGCTCTGGCTGTTGTGGAATATCTGCTCTTGTGCCATCGCTGCAGTGCCTCTGCCAGTTCTGTGACCAGTGAAGGAACCAACACAAAGACAGTTTCTTCAAGGATCAAGTCAAATTTGAAGACAGAGACTACGGCTTCTTTGTCTCGACAAGAGGAAATCACATCAAAGCGGCCTGGACGGAAGGGATCTGCTTCGAACAATCGCCTGGACGGAAGGGATCTGCTTCGAACAATCACTCCGTGATGATGTATGACGTCTGACTCTTCCGGCCAACAGCCTTGATGATGTCTTGAGGTTTGACAAGAGTACCCCTTGGAGACAAATCGACAATTCGTCTATATTACAACTACCGATGTAGCAACAAGCGCAAGCTTCGAACGCGGTGTAGTTGTCGAGGAATGGCTGTTGTTGTAGTTGTAGCCGCTCGGCCGCTCGGCCGCTCGGTGGGGTCAACAAGAGGGAGGAGCTGGAGGGCCACAGCTGCGGCGGTGCTGAGAAAACACTAGGTGCTTGCAACCCTGTCGCTCCGGCCTCCAAACTATCTCTGATTGCGGCTTCGCTTTGCTACCGAGCTATGGTGGCTGTAGTGTTCAACGCTGTTTGCGTACCAGTAGTGCCGAGTAATAGCGATTCCAAGCATACTAGTATGTATAAAGTGACTACTGGAGCTTGCTTAGAGTGTGGGACACTGTTAGTTCTTCGATTGTTGCTTCGAAATGCCACTTTATTGCTTTGGATCACTGTCGTCTGTTGGGATTGGGGTACTGTACCGTAGCGGCACCAGTACTACACGACCCCCCTGCCGCCATTCCATACGCACTGTCTCTTTGGCAGGAGACTGTTGATTTTCACAAGCTAATACGAACCAAACCACCACGAGATACCGTCAGCTTTCAGCTTTCAGCTTTCAGCTTTGGAAGCGCCATTCTGGGACAGAAACACAAAAAAGGCACCCAGTCGAACCTCGGTTTAGAGTATCGTTGGTAGACAATCTATCTATTGAACCACCCATGATGCCATCATGTTGTATGCAGATAGCTAGCAAGTACCACCGGGTAGTGATCCCAACAGTGGATCGCTTTTGAACGCTGGCGAGAACCACACAGTCATACAGGAATCTTATTCCACATCCGACCGACCACAAGCAACCCAGCTGACGATACCAAGACAGGCTCCCACACAAAGTATTCATTCAAACACCCATGGTGTTGAAAATGAATTGAAAGCAAGGGACCCTCGAATTCTTCCATAGAACTAAGCAACAACCACCAGAACGATAGACAAGCCATACCGCACACCGACAAAATGAACATGCGACACACCACCATGGCGTTATGCGTTGCAGTACTCTCCCAAGCAACACTAGTGCACTCATTACATGGATCAAATCTCATCCAAGCGACACAGGCTGCCGCCAACTTTCATGGTAGTCTCGGCAATGCCTTTGAAATCATAAAGCAGCAACCCAACTCAAGAAGAGAGCTCTCTGCCATGGTCGCCTGCCAGTAGTACGCCTCTACCAACTGAAGACTCCTTCGACGATGTTGCTTCCTGGCAAGCTGAGTTTAAAGCTTGTCAGGCCTCCTCTTCTCATGGGCAAGAACCCGAATTCCTGTTTAGCCAAATGGCCGACGAATGTGCGCTAACAAGACGCTCCAACGGCACCTCCACAAGCTACATACTTGATACGGAGATGGGCCTCGAGACATGGGTGTTTAGCAACGAGCCCTGTCGGTTGGAGTCCACTATCAACACCACAGAGTTCTTGGAAGAATTCCCTCTGATCTTTCAAAACAATGCGCACCCCAATGCAGCTTTTACCTTTGGTGGAGCGGCCATTCCACTCATTGCAATCCTACCAGTGGAAGCCGACTCGGCGACCAGGGGCCAACCATCGGATGATGGAACCTCCATACGAGTGCAGCACTCATTGGACCAATCGGGGCAGCAGCAAGACCTCTTATCTCTGGAGGTCCTACTATTACCAGACGACGGCGACCAAGTGGTCTTTCCAGACTGCAGTTTGTTTATTGACGACTTGCAGTGTTGTTGCGAAGCGTGCGATCCAATAAATAGTTTGGATCGTAGCTGTGCTTGTGCGGGATCGTCGTCGTCCCATTGTCAAACTTTCTGCGCCAATGATTTCAAATAAAAAAGGTCCTCATGCCGTCTTGTCGACGCCGACTCGACTGAGACTCAAGCTGCTTCTCACGAGTCAGAGATCACAGAGAAACTAGAAATGTCAGTGTTTGAATACTGTACGGTATTGTAGATCCAACTTAGCTTAGCTAGCTAGATGGCTGTCAACTTTCTGTACATTTAGATTCTCTCTAGAAGGATGTGTCTACTAGGGAGCTGGAGCTCAGACTGCAGCTCACACCCATTGTATGCTTGGAGCATGGACATGATCTGTGGTGCACCGACATAGAGAATGACGGCAAGGGGGAACACAAACTCGGCGGCATTGCCAATGCCACTGGTAAACGCGAGACCACCTGCATCTTTTGGCGTTGACAGTTGCTTTGATGCCGATGATTCGCTTGCCATAAAGAGGGGCCTGTAGTACTCGCATTGCCTGGCACAAGTAAGTGACATCAGCTGATGTTCCAGCTGACTAAACGAAGGATGTTGGCTCCAGTGTTGTTGCCTAGAATCCTGTTCGATGAGCTATCATTGACGCTTTGAGTTGCGAACTCGTGAAATAGGTCGCGAATGTAACTCGTTACTGGTTGCGATGGCTCGGGTACCAGCTTGAAAATGTGAGCGCAAACGGTTTACTAATCTTGATCGAACTTTGTTGTTGCTTGTAGAAAGAGAACTGACAAGATCGTAAATTAACAATCTCAGAAAGGCCATAAGTAGCGTTGGCATCTAAGCTTATCTTTACTTCCGACTTCAATAAGAAATTCAAGGATTTTTAACAGTTCAACTCACATGGTGGGAACCACTAATAAGACTAACAAGGACTTCCGTATCGTTCGGTTTACGGTAGCAAATGCATACCGTACGCTGGACAAGTGCACGCAGGGTTTTAACATGTGCCCATATTATCGAGTGGTGGGACCAGTAAAACTACCCTGGAAGAGAACATTGTACCAATTTGATCTCCGCGCACAGTCCTGTTTCGAAGCCACCAAACTTAGCCTGGTACCAATACAACATACAAGTTTAATCATGGAAGCACCCGCCCTCGCCGAAGACCACACATACAATTGACCCATCCAAGACCATCGAGCTCTTCATCGATCCCCATCAGCAACCAACACAAAAACGTGCCGCTAGCACGCTACCGCAGCTGGCAACAGGAATGCAGTCTGAACTTGGCAGAGTAGCAGCCGAGAAAAGGCTCTTGCTGGCAGCAAAAAGCACAATTCACAGTCCCATTATCCAAAACTATCAAGCTCCTCATCAATAGCAAAATCCAAACATTACGACTTTAGAACAAGACAGAGTGCAGAAATACAATACAAGCACCTGGTCCTGTGCCTTTCCATCACATCCAAGCATTCTGTGCTGTCTTCTAGCTCAAGAAACCAAGGAAACATGAAAGCAACAACAAATATGCTACACGTGAGAGCCCTCATGCTATCTTCAGTCCTCTTGGCCCCTGTGGAGGCAGCTTTAGTCTTCCAAGCTTTTGAACCATTTGTCCGGTGTGCTGATGGAAGTCCTGCTGGGATTTTCTCTAACGTCCACGAAGGTCGCACCAACTCCAACTCCCAACACCTTGATCGGACCAAGCACATCATTGTCTTTGAAGGGGGAGGTGCATGTACAGATCCTGAAGATTGCCTGAAGGAGGCCACCAACGAGCCCTACAAATTCTCGAGTACACCGCTCCCTGAAACAATAGAAGGCACTACTATTCTCTCAGAGGACCCTAATGAACAGAACCCGTTCCAAAGCTATGTAAAGTGGTTTGTCCCCTATTGCACCCAAGATTTGTTTCTAGGAGACTTACAGAAGGGGATGGTTGGAGAGTTCACTCACGGTGGATCAGACATCTTCCGCAGTGCAATATCACACTGGAAGAGCAGCGTGACTGGTCAACATCATGATAGTGTAAGCCAACTGGTAGTACTTGGAATCAGTGCGGGTTCCATTGGGCTCATGAATCATGTCGAAGATGTCCAAGAAGCGGCCCAGTCAGTTGGTGTTGGCAAGTTGCAATACATTCTTGATGCCCCCTCTATCAGCGATCGATGGCATGAAAAGAACTTCTCCCGTACAATGGAAACATATGTGAACTTGACTGAACATCCCCTGTGTGACGTGTTGAACAAGTACTCGCGCCATTACAAGCCAACAATCACCGACTTGCCTTGTTGCCTCTCATCTCATTGCATGTTTCGACACGATGAGAACATTCGATCCATCGGTTCGCCCAAGGAAAGCAAGGGATCTGTGATGACAGAGGAGATACTACTGTTGGATGCTGACTATGACCCCTTAGCACTTGCTGCCTCAAGTGAAAAGTCTGACCAAAAGAGATTCATTGATGTCATGAGCAATGTCTGGGAAGGAGCTGAGACAGCTGGTTCAAGAGGCACCCGTGCCCTCGAAACATCTCTTTGGCTCCCTGACTCTCAAGATGAATCACTGGGGCCAAAAGGTTCATGGTACATTTCATCTTGTGTTGCTCATGGATTCTTTATTCCATCGGTGCAAATCCAGCACAGGCCATGCTTGCATGGGGACTTCAGTGACAGGGACTTTGTAATTCGGTGTCGCAGTGATGGTGCAGGAGTCCAGTCTACTATTGGACAAGTGGATCTGCAAGTGACTCTTTGGCAGACAACTGATACCTGGAACTTGGCAAAGGTGCAAGGAAACTCAATTCGCAACATTGTATCAGACTTTGTTTCCCAGCACAATGATGGCCAACCTAGAACAGAGAGCAGTGACCAAACCTTGCTCGTGTTTGCAGATGAATGCAAGGGTCCAAACTGTGCCTCCATTGTGGGGCATCCTAATGAGTGCCAAGCACTCTTTGAGCTTGAAGAATCATTTAAACCAGTTCCCCTGGGCTTCAAGATTGCCTGGTATGTTGTCATTGCACTGATCATTGCCACATCAGCTGCACGACTGCCACTGCAAGCAATGTGTACAACAAATGGATCAAAGGGGACCAAGGAGGCGAAGGAAACAAACCAAGCAGAGATGGATGAGGGCAATGCTGCCCAGAAAATTATTCCTGTTCGCACCAAGATTTGCTCTGTGAAGAACCTGTCTGTAGTCACTGCGGAAAAGGGATTCAAAGTTCTCCAGGACGTCCACCTACAGATCAACTCAAGTTCTGTCATTGGGTTACTTGGTAGATCAGGATCAGGAAAGTCCACGCTCCTGTCTGCTTTGAGTCGACAGAAACTTCATAGTCTGCGAGTTTCAGGGGGGCAAATTGAAATGCAATGCTCTGATGGTGATGTTGCCTTTCTTCGCCAATCAGATTCTGTCCAGATGGAGAACATGACGGCCTCGTCATTCCTGGAAACCACTGCCTCAATCTATGGGGCAGACAACAAAAGGGTAGATGACTGTGCAGAAATGGTAAAGAAGCTCTATTGCAGAGTGGAGCAATCAGGCCTGAATCCATTTACTGATACCAAGATTAAGAACCTTAGTGGTGGCCAGAGGCGGATTCTTGCCATTGCCACCACTCTACTTTTGACACCGCAATTGGTTCTTCTTGATGAACCACTCAGTGGTCTGGATGATGCCTCTTCACTTCAGGTTATGGAGTTTGTGCAGTTCCTTTCGAATAAGTACAGTTGTGCTGTCATCCTTTCTCTGCACAACCCATCAGAGGAAGTTCTGCAATACCTTGACAGAGTTGTTGTGATGGACAATGGTTATGTCAGGATGCAGATAGACTGTATGGCTAACAGAGCCTTTGCAACAGACTTTCGTCGTGAGCTGGGCTCCATTATGTCTGGGTTTCTGGAACATTCCAGTGGAAGCAATGCTTCAAAAGACAAACTAAAAACTGTAAGCTTGACGGGGAAAGACGCAATGGTTGAAAATCCTGGGCCACGATCAACCATGGATTTACACACCACCATTGATTTTGACACCACTGATGAGACAGAGAGAGAACAAGAGAGTTCAGTGTCTACAGCCTGGGAAGAAAACCCTGTTGCCTGCTTCTCTACAACACCATTTGCAGCGTCAACCGAAGAGGAAGGAACAAAAAAGAAGCCAAAGGCGAGTGGCTGGAACAATTTCCTTGGCTTTTTCAGCAAGACAGCATTCCTATGCCGGCGTCTCCATGCGAACTATGGGTCGGACCCTGCAG